AAAATCCAGGTAAGAGCAGTCCAAAAAAAGAAACTCGACAACTAACACAGAACAGCCAGGCACTGGCTCCGGCTCTGGAACAGTCACTGGCACTGGCTCAGATGAGGATAGTGAAGATGAGGCTGCCTTTTGTTAATTGTGAGGCACAGCAGCTTGCCTGAAGGTGGTAGCCATTGTGTGGTGCGGAGGTGAGGCCCTCTTGGTTAGCTTTTCGTCTGGCGGGCTGACCCGGGTTGCCTAGACTCAGTTTTAAATCTTGCGTCTGGCGGAGTTTTAACTGGGCCCTCGTTGGATCTTGCGACTTGCGGACCACCCTGGGCAGCCCTTCTGCCATTAGGGCGTTGCCCCAACGACTTGCAGTATTGTATGGCATGTATATAGTGTATATTTGTACATAGTTCGTTGATCACACATGGTGATGGGCTTAGGTGATTAGGTGAAACAACCTAAGGGGAGGAACAACTTTAAAGAAGGAAGGATGCCCCCAATTCGTTGTCACACTCAGCAGGCACTTGTTGTAAAGACTGCATGACTGTTGACCTTCTAGGGAATAAATAATTGTTAAAGACACTTGTTACATTTTTGTCTCTTATTCAGCACTAAAAAATTGTTTGCCACCACACATCTCATTTGGGTGTCTGAAAAAGCTACCCCATTAATATGCATTGTACAGTTGCACTGTCCAAGTTATGTCAAATTCCTGCATTGCTTTTTCCTCCAGAAATGCATGACATTTAGCCTAACAAGTATTCATTGTTTATCCAAAAAGCAATTTTGAATCTTTAAAAGTGTCAGGAGGGGATTCAGCCTCACTACACCCTGAAAACAATTGCATAAACATTCACAAGCACACTTATGATTTTCAAATCACCATGAAAATAACCTAAAATTATGCCTGAAAGTAATCAAAATTTGACAAAATAAAATTAGCTCTTTGAAATCTGAAAATGCCAGAAATGAAATCGGCATCCTCTAAAACCTAGACTCTTCCTCGGGGTGGGCCCGGTCATATCAATGACTTTAAGAGTCCCTTTATCCTCTACTTCTGAAACTGAGGTAAGCTCAATTAAAGTCTTAAATTGACCTGATGGATGCAGGGAATCCACCTCTGGGAATCTACCACTGAGAGATGACATCAGTCAAGATGATCTTAAACCACTGGGGACGGTGGAGTCATTTCTTTTCAATCTACGAACCTCTGGTCACTGAAGTGAAGATGGTGGTATTAAATCTCAAATAAGAAATTTATATTATTAATGAACTAATTTTATCTCATTGGTTGGATCTTTTGTTTAAATATCAAATATTAATACAGACTGGCCATTACACAGAAGCTTAAGCATGCAGTGGAGAATATAAACTATGTAATGCAGCAGCAAATAAGTAAATAAAGATTTACTTCTTACCTCATTTTGATGTTAAGTAACTTTACTGAAAAGCAATGTTTCAAAGAACTCTTCGCCAATTGACTAACATTAAAAGATAAAAATATGTATCATATAAAAATCCGTTGAACTGAGTAACATTAGGCTAAATGTATGTTGGTTATCATTCACTGTATATTTGCGAGTATTGTGAAGTGTTATGTCACCTTGCTCGCATAATCACGATGGCGATGTATAATATCTAATACTATCCAAATAACAATATTTCATGCAGTAGCCTGCACTCTGTGCGTATATTATGGGCACAATGACAGGAGAAACGTTCAGATAGGCAGAGTCCGACCCGATCTGTAAAAAACCCCGGGACCCGACAGGCTTGCAGACCTCTACTATAGATTGAACATGTAATTCGCATGTGCATGACGTCATCGCCTTTAGAGATTCACATTTTTGTTGTTTACACGGAAACCGTTTTCAAAAGTTTGCATTTGAATGGCCGAAATGCACAAGAAGGTATAAGAGTTATTGTGTAAACAGTAGAGTTGAGCCGGATACTCGGCTGAAACGAGTATCCGGTACGGATAAAGCACTTTTGTCGAGTACAAATATTATACGAGTAATACGAGTCAATATCTGTGCTCGGATAAAAAAAAAGAAAAAAAAAGTAATGTTGAAATTAGGGCTGAGCGATATATCAATATAAAGAATATATATTTTAAATGTGATATGTAATTAGAGTTTGCGCTGCACGCCTTGCTCCAAGCAAGCTGCTTAGTGCTGACCCAGAGCTCTCTGCACTGCTCCCCGCGCCCCAGTCACTCCTTTTCCACTTTGCGTGCTTGATTAAAGCATGTTATGTTATAACATGAAATAAAGTCTTTCACCTCAGCAAAACGGACTTTGTCCTGTCAGCCGTTATACTGTAACGTTAGTCGTAGCGCACACTCAATTGCACGCGCAAATGCGGCGGCGCGCGCTGGATCGCCTCACTGTATATAAAGTGCAAAAGAAACAACGAGCATGCAACACTGTTGCGTTGTAAATAACACGAAATAAAAACAAAGCAGGTATGATTTTAATTCTATTCACCAGGAGCAGTTTCAATGTTTCATTAACAGCATTGTCTATTCACCAAGGTAACTGTCATGTCTATATTAACCCCTTAATGCCCCTATTTTTCTTTGTGTTATTTTTTATATTTTTTAAATGAATGTAATGGCTCATACCAACGTTGTATTGACAAAATAAATAAACCAATTAATAAATCACAATTACAATTCCAAGGGAATAATCTGCAATTAAGATTTTTGTCATAATCATGCAGCCCTAAGGTGAAGAAACCTGTTAATTATTTATTAATTTGATTTTGCAAATGTTCATGTTTCAATAAAACTACTTGTGACATGTCATATTTGGCTTTGACTGAACATTTGCTCTCACTTTGCAGAAAAAATATCTGGATATATTTTGTATATTGAAATTCAGCCTAAATATATTGGGATATGACTATTGGTCCATATCACCCAGCCCTAGTTGAGATGAAAACTCTTGTTCGTTACATTTTACTTCATATTTGCAACCACATGTGTTGTATTCATTGTTGCAAAACTTGTTCTGTAGTTCGTTGTTATCGTGATCAAAACCATTGATCTGAAGCTCAATGCTGATGCTGTCATGTAAATAGTTTTCTTATCAGCAATAAATATAACAATTTCTGATCAACCCATATCAATTGCATGCATAAAATAACATACCGGTTAAAGCCCCGCCCATTTCAAGACTACCCGACCCACTTCCGGGTTTAGGCCCCGCCCAGTCCGAGTACAGATACAGATAATTCATATGGTTATACAGATACAGATACAGATACAGATAATGCTGTACTCGCTCATCCCTAGTAAACAGCGCTAGAGACATGAAGGCCACTCTTCTTCTCTGCAACTTTTTATTACAACACGGTCAGGTGGTCGTGGCAGGGGTTTAGCTATTATTTATAGTTTTATTTATATTACTACAGAGCCGTTTCGAGTTTTGAAGTAGTCAAGTATTTAAGATGGACGGTAGTAACCCAGTTCTTTACATGCTTGTTTATAGACCATTTTGAAGATGTAAACAACACTGGTCCAGAAGCACTTCCTGTTTCAGGTTTTTAACACTACATAAACGTTTGGATAAAATACAACCAACAGAACATAATACAACTAAATAAAAAAGTTAAACAAACATCTACAAACATTTGAAATAAAGAAACCATTTACAAACTGACACAAGAAGTGTTTCTGGACAAGTGTTGTTTAGATCTTAAGATACAACACAGTTTGTCTTCTGATTTAATAATAAATAATAATAATACATTTTATTCATAATGCACTACATTTCATAGAAATCTCAAAGTTCTACAGTAGCAAGGGGTTCCCAGAAACTAACAGAGTCAACAAATAGCAATAAAACACTATAAAATAAAAAAAGAATTAAAACCATGACTGTTTCAAAAGGCCTTTTGAAATAGAAAATCCTTTAGGCCCTTCTTAGAAACCTCCAGAGTTTGTGGGGCCCTTAGGGTCTCTGGGAGGGCCTCTGTTTCGTTTTGATTGGTGCATGTAACTCAAGGATATTGTAAAGCCTGGAATTATAGTGGTCAAGTATATTGGTATAGCGGTGTCTGTTATGACTAAATCAAGAGTGTGGCCTTTTGTGTGTGTAGGTACTGTGACGTGTGGAGCAGTCCAGTGCTGCTACAGGCTGTTAATACAGTACAGTGTACTTACATGTTAAAAGATCAAGGAAATTTAGATTTCTCAATTTATGACCCCTTGTAATAAATTTGCTTTCTCCACCCTGCACTGTTAAGCATTACTCAATGTATTCAATCAAAATATGCAAGGTACATCTGTTTGTGTTATTACTGTAGTCATGTGCGTTTGTCTGTAATTCACCTTTGGCTAAGCCCCGCCCCCCTTAGTTACTGTTGCTACATACGTCAAACTTCATCTGCACTCTGCATGGCTTATGCTGTGACAGCTCTTCCTGCTGAAATGTTATCAAACTTTTATAAAGCAGCAAATAAAGTGTCCAATAGAAGTAGGGGCTGTAATATGCGTTCGAAGGCTATATTCAAGACATACAGGTGAAACACAAGAAACAACAAGGCATCCAAAATAGAGGCAAAAGCATAACGTTACCGGTCACAGTCAAAAAATTAACCACCGCATTTCCTACTAATCAAGACGGAGGCTGGGACTAACAATATCAGGGAGCAACACTGTTCTACCAAAGCTGGGTAGGTCTTTATTCATATATAATCGTTATTATATAGCGAACAGACTACACAAGGACTGTATAACGTTGTATTTATTAGCAGTGTGTGCTAGCGTATCAACAACCGGTATGAGAACCGAAATCATAACCTAAAACATTATAAAACGGTCTAACTAGTATAACTTCACACTCACAGTAAGGTTAGAAGTAAAAAAAGATGTGCTTGTTGATCTTTGTGGGGTTTAGCTGACTGAGGACAGGATTGTCAGGATTTGACTTCGGTTTTGGGAAGGGAAAAAACGGACACCCCCTCCAACCTCTCTGGGAAACACGTATCTGTGTTGCAAATGCCCCAGGCACAACGTTTAACCATATTTTGGATAAAACTTCGACGGTAATAGCCTGCCGAGACCAAAAAAATGAGACGCCTGTTTTGAAAGTTAATGAGGCGTTGTGAAAGTGTCCGACCTCTGTGGGAGCTGGTTCTTAGCTGGACTGTGATTGGTCAATCTACATTCTAGGGCGTGGCTTAGCCAAAGTCAAAATCAGTATTTCACAAACATATCATTTTCACTGAAGACAGATATATTGATGGATTGTCAGCAGAAAAATATGTCTGTGTGAATCTCTTTACATTTCCAGGGAATTAAAACAAAAATAAAGTCTCACATTTGACCTTTCAGGTGTATCTCTAATGGCAAAAGAATCTTTCTATTAGACCACAATTAAATGGCCTCCATAGGTGATGTTTGAAATTGCTCCTTTTCCTGCAGTTTTAGTTCAGAATGAGTTTGCAAATGGCGTTTCAGGTCCACTCGATATGCAAAACTCTTTCCACACTGAAGACACGTGAAAGGCTTCTCTCCAGTGTGAGATCTTATGTGAGTCCTAAGGCTTTCTTTAAGTGTGAAACTCTTTCCACACTGAGGACACGTGAAAGGTTTCTCTCCAGTGTGGGTTCTCATGTGAACATTAAGGTTTGTTTTGTTTGAGCAAGTCTTTCCACAGTGATGACACATGAAAGGCTTCTCTCCAATGTGAGTTATTACATGGCTCTTAAGGTGATCACTGTCTGTGAAAATCATTTCACACTGATGGCATGTAAAACAGTCCTCTCTAGAGTGAGTCCTCATGTGGGTATTAAGGTTTACTTTATGTCTAAAACTATTTCCACACTGATCACATGTGAACGGCTTCTCTCCAGTGTGAATCTTCATGTGGGAATTAATTGTTGATCTATGTTTAAAACTTTTTCCACATTGAGGGCAGGTGAAAGGTTTCTCTCCAGTGTGAATTCGTATGTGGCTTTGAAGGCATGCTTTTCGAATGAAACATTTTCCACAGTGTTGGCAGGTGAAAAGGTTCTCCCCATTGTGAATTCTCATGTGGACTTTAAGACTGTCTTTTTGAGTGAAACTTTTTCCACATTGTTGGCAGGCGAAAGGCTTCTCTCCATTGTGAGATCTCATGTGAGCTTTAAGGCTGTTGTTTTGAGTGAAACTTTTCCCACATTGTTGGCAAGTGAACGGGCTCTCTCCGGTGTGAATCCTCATGTGTTTATTGAGGTTTCCTTTTTCAGTGAAACTTTTTCCACAATGTTGGCAGGTGAACGGCTTCTCACCAGTGTGAATTCTCATATGGACATTCAGGTTTCCAAGTTGATTGAAACCCTTTCCACATTGAGTGCAAGAGAAATAACTTCTAGTTGCTGTATTCTGACTTCTTATTTGTGAGAAAGTCTTTTCAGTCTGTGAGCAACTAGAAGATTTTTCTCCAATTATGAAATCATTATGATTCTCATCCTGATCGTCTTCTTCATTCAATTCTTGACTCTCTTCTTTAAGCACCATCAAGTCTAAGTTGAAAAAAGACAAATACAAATGAACCGCAGTTAAATGGGACAAAGCAACAGACATCAAAACAAAAGCATCAAAACCAACAGCACGTACTTCTCAATATTGTTAGCTCTTAACGTTCTTCAGGACACATCCCCAAGAACTTTCTAACTAGCAGTTTTAAAACCCCTTATCAAAAAAATTAAATAAATAATCATACCCAAGAGAAATTATTGTTTATTCCACCCATGAACTCAGCCAGATGATTTCACTAATCTCATGGCTGAAATCGTGCTAATTAGTTAATCCAGGTGATTGGAACAAAATACTGAGGACGACTTTTACTTTCTGAACCTGGACTTTACACCTCTGCCTCTCACCTATGTTCAGATTTGCAGAGAAACAGTATGGATAATTGTGGATAATTTCAGTTTTCGTTTAAGCCAGATCATAGCGCAGAATCTGTGCTTATTAAAGTTACAAATGACATGCTTATGGTATCCGATCACAGCCAGCTGCATCTATCTTAAAGAAACACTCCGACTTTTTGGGACTTTAGCCTATTCACCTTACCCCCCAGAGTTAGATAAGTCTATACATACCTTTTTCATCTCCGTGCGTGCTATAAGTCTGTTTGACGCACCCACCGCTAGCCTAGCTTAGCACAAAGACTGGATGTGAATGGTTGCAGCTTTCATACTAATCCAAATGAGTGACAAAATAACGCAAACGTTTTCCTATTTACATGTTGTGGCTTGTATAGTCACAGACTGTACAATTATCAAGGCCATATGAGACACAGACATCTTTTAACCATATAAATACTATATTTTCTGAAGGCGAAGCACTGATACTTGGGCAGAGTTATAACCGCATCACCTGAGACGCATCGTGACGAGGAGCAGAGAGTTCGCTCAGTGTTTGGGTAACAGAGTCAGCAATTACTAGATAGAAAAGCATAGTTTATCATGGGTGTTTGCTTTATTGTATGAGCTGTGACAATAAACAGGGGAGACCAGGTAATACAGTACCATGTTTCATTGATTTCCAACCAAAAACGCACCCAGATTTATAAATATCACATGAATAAATAATTATTATTACAGGAATCAATATATTTTAAATGCAATTTATTAGCTGAACCAAATGTATTCAACAGTAGCCTATATAATATACAGTATTGCATTACTATAGGATAGAATAAGGGGAAAATAATAGCACAAATTGTTTTTGCACAATGAACTCACAGCCTATCGTCCCCTTTTGCACGCTCAAGTTCGTTATTTCCATGGTTATTTCAAATTTAGGCTACTAGGCGCGCCGCGCGCAAGTTCAACACGCTCGTTTTTTTCCAAGCGCGTCCGCGCCGCATCAAGATAAAAACATATTCATACCCTAATCATATAATAGTGTCACTAACGTTACATTAGCTCTGGCTAATGGCACAGTTACAGTAGGTCATCTAAAAACATAACGGAACACTTACCTCAGCCGCAGGTGATCCACTTGTCCTGTCTGTGCTATCGATGGGATGGCCGTATCCTTCAGCACATTATGGTCCGTGTGGCAAATTCCATTTTTTCAAAATAGTCGTCCTCATTGAAATGTACCGAGCAAACATAATGTCCCTTGATAATCTATTTAGGTGTGTTTGGATAAATATCCAGAGTAAGTTAGCCATTTCTTCATCCAGTCAGCGTTTTTAGTTGGAATTCTGTGAAACATGGTATTACCTCCCCTGTTTACAGTCGCAGCTATTTACAATAGAGCGAAAACCCATGACTGTAAACTACGCTTTTACTATTTATAAATTGCTGACTCTGTTACCCAAACTCTGAGCGAACTCTCCGCTCCTCACCACGGCGTGTCTCCGGTGATGCGGTTATCACTCCGTCAAAGTAGCAGTGCTTCGCCTTCAGAGAATAGTTCCCAGGTTTTATACGGTTAAAAGATGTCTGTGTCTCATATGGCCTTGATATTTGCACACTCTGTGACTATACAAATCACAACATGTAAATAGGAAAACGTTTGCGTTATTTTGCCACTCATTTGGATTAGTATGAAAGCTGCAACCATTCACATCCAGTCTTTGTGCTAAGCTAGGCTAGCGGTGGGTAACCATACTTATAGCACGCACGGAGATGAAAAAGGTATGTATAGACTTATCTAACTCTGGGGGATAAGGTGAATAGGCTAAAGTCCCAAAAAGTCGGAGTGTTCCTTTAAAGTGCTATTAGATTTCTATTAGACTAAAAAGTGCTATTAGACTAAAATAGGTTGCTTGTTAAAACATTTTGCCTCAGACATTTTAAGGCACGATACACATGCATGTGTACATGATCAGGATGGCACACTAATGTAGGCTATGCATACAACGCTAAGAATGAAACCAACCTTTTTGTTCCTCAGTTTCTTCTTGTTTCACACTGAATGTTTTTTCAATCTTCATGTCTTCACTCTCCTCTTTAATAAATGCCATCTTTATAATAGTAAGTGACGTGGATCTCTAGGAGTTTTCACTAGGAGTTTTTCTGTTTAAGATATGAATAATTAATAGAAAGTACAATAAAATCCACACTAAATCTCTGTGAGTCACTCAATCAGCTAAGTGTACCTCAAAACATACACTTAAAATTATTTAAAGAGCACAAATATATTTAGCTATGATTTAGATTACCAAATAGATTATATTTAGTAGACAACACTTTCAGAAAACAGTTCCTACTGGTAAGTAAAAGTTAACATTTAACAAAGTTTTTTATGCTCCATGTTCACTTTTTTGACCAGAGGGTGACGTCAGTGCGCGTTGATTCGAGCGATTTGAATCAGTGAATCGGTTTTAACTAGCAATTGATTCAGTTGACTTTTGAGTTATAAAAAGCTCCCTTTCTCTTATCACTACTTGCCAGTGACCAAATTTATTTTTAAGATAAACTGATTCACGATATAGGGTGAGAAATAAGACTCAACATAAGAAATATGACCCTTTCTCACGAATGATTGCGCTTGACTCAGAAGAATCACATCCATTAATATATTATAAAGGATTAAAATGATACATTAAATGATGAAATAATCATTTAAAAGTTTTTGCTAAAACGATTCAATTACCTAAGCGATTAAAACACTTTAAATGCTTTGAACACAAACCTTTCTCCAACCGAATTACAACAGATGCAGGAGCGCAGGCTTCTGACGTCATTTCGCCACTCCAAAATAAAAGTCCCGTTCACATGCTAAAACCAAAAAAGTGCATAGAAATCCCATAGACAGTAGAAATCCACATAAAAGTAATATGACAGCGGCGTTCAAAGTTGAATTCTTGTTGAAATACACTTAAATGCATGTTGTGAAAAAAATGAACCACATCTAATCTACTATTGTTTAAAGTGCTATAATGTTTGTGTGCAGAAACTTTTCTGAACTTTTCAAAAACATTTCTGAACTTTTTGTTTGATGCATTTTTTTAAAGAACTATACTGTATAATAAATACTAAATATTGTATAATAAATACTAAATACTGTGTATCACCCAGAGCCACTATCACCACAAATGGAATTACATCACAGAGTTTCACATTACATCAGGGCACCATACAGGGATGCCCACTCTCGCCTTCCCCAGATAGCAAACTGACATTGAATCAACGTGGAAATATGACATCGAAACAACGTTGATCTGACATTGTTTTGCTCATCGAATTAACGTTGAACCAACGTCAGACGCGTCATTCTTTCAAAACTAACGGAAAATCAACTTGAAATCAACGCGTTGTTTCAACGTTACGAAAGCAAATCAATTTTCGATTTTCATTTAGCTTTGAAGAATGCCGCGTCTGACGTTGGTTCAACGTTAATTCGATGAGCAAAATCAACGTTGTTTCAATGTCATGAGATCACTGTCAACACTATAAAAAAAATCACATGGGGGGCTTGATTCACCAAACTTCCATCACTACTTCTTGGCAAATCAGTTACAATATCTAGTAAAATGGATCAATTTACATAAACATAAATACCCCATAAAAAAAGATAAACATAATATCTCACTTGCAGACCTACCCTTTTTCTCACAATCAATTAAGAAATCCAACATCGGTCAACCCTTCACCATCTATTTGGTTATCAACTAGCCCAGGCTACCGGCTGCATAAGCTTCCTCTGGATTCCAATAGGATTGCATGGATAAACTTTATTTTTAATGACGTTCCAGCTGATGAAGTAAAACATCGTCCGTCTGTTTGCTTCATTTCACTGAGGATTGTTTTGTAAACAAGACTGGATTTGCAGAGCGATGAAGAGTAAAGAACGGTGCTGTGCCGTCTATATTGGATCTGATAGGAATTGTGCAACACACAGACTCTGGAATCATTCCGGTTGCCATTAGCCAACATTAGACGTTTGCATGCCGGTAACTCATATCTTAATATTAATTTAGATTATAATTCCTAACTTTTCTTTTGGTTCCTTAATTTTGAAGCCCAATATGGTTCATTTCCAGAGATATATGGATCTCATTGTGGCTACATGAGAAAATTGCTTCACACTTTTAATGGTTGCACATTTTCTGAAAAACAAATAATGTATCACCACAATTGAACATTCCTGAGTGCCATAAATAGTATTTTTCCACAGTTTGTGTGCCTTTAACTCTAAAAGTATTTCAAGAAAGTATTCAAGTATTCAGCTACAAAGGTGAGACCATGTAACAATTGGTCTGCACTCTAAAAAACTTTTATTTTGATCACAGAAGCTTCCAGTTCACTGAGACGACAACAGTACGCAGATAGTGAGATAAAGATATATGAAGAAGATACACATAATGGATAAATAAACAAAAATGACTGCATGAACTGTTAATAAGACATTGAGATGCTTTGCTGCTACGTAAAGGATTGAGGGACTTTATGGATTAAAAATGCACTATATAAAACGAAAAGAGTAAATTCAATTCCTTTTAGTCTCTATTTTTATTCCGTTTCATAAATGTATGTGCCATTTTTAATACATGTGTATTACAGCCTATGGCTCAAACATGAGCTTATTTCACAAATATACTAGTTTATTATATAATAAAAATGTAAACAAATAATGTGTGTGTAAAATCAAATAAAATTCTCACACACCTTTTAAAATTGTAAAAATGTATCTACAAAATTAATAAATAAAAGAGAGAAAATAAAATAATTGGAATTATCTGAAAATTTTCACATATGGTCATAATGAGCAAATTAAATATTTTTGAAAAGTCATCTTCATCAGCAAAATACTGGAGAGAAGTAAAAATCGAACAAAACTTCAATTAAATGTAAAAAGGTAACTACAATAGCCTCCAGAGATCAACAGGTCTCCAAAATCCTGCTGAAGAGGGAGAATGGGAAAACAGGGAGGCAGAGGTGGAAGTAATTAAATGAAAAAAGTATTAAAATCTTTGACCAGCATGACTGATCGTGGGCGGGCTAATAAAAACACTTGTATTTGGACCGGGGAAAAAAACTTTGTTTGCCATCTGCATTGATTTCAGTTTACAAGGCTTCAGCCTCTAATCTAAAAAAAAAAAACATTATGGTAAATTTATGTGATAGTTGCTTTTGTTTTTAATTTTGGGTAGACATCACGATAATTTGACTAAAAATATCACTTGAAACATGAGCTTCAGAGTTACTCAGGTGACAAGCACATATACCGTAATAAAGATTTAGCATTGTAAACTTGCGCTCAAAGTTAGATTGTATGTCATTGTCAACACATTGTTTTATTCATATTGAATTTGTGTTTTAAGCTTAGAATGAAGAGTTTAATAATAACTCTTTCGTAAAAACAGTCTCTTGCTGCGACCCACTGGCATAACAATGTAAATGCACCGATTGACAGTCTCTCTAGATTGCGCATGTGTCAGTGCTAAATGCTGATAACTGCTAAATGCTGCCTTTGTCAGTGCTAAATAACTACTTTTGAAAATCTTTATTGTCCAGTCAGATTTTTTAAATGTAAAAAAAATAAATAAAAACTGTTCATTAATAAAATAACCCAACAAGCATATTTATGTTGCATTATAATTCATTAATAATAATAATCATATTAGACCATTTTAATAACTTGATTTCCACAAAAGTAAATAAATATCACAGGCTAAAAAGTAATAAGTACTTGAGTAGTTTTTGAGAGGGGTATTTGTACTTTTACTTAAGTACATTTTTAAAACCAGTACTTTTACTTGTAATTGAGTATTATTTTAGCAACTACTTGAGTACAAATATTCAGTACTCTTTCCACCTCTGCAGGGAGGTGGATGAGGAAGAGGAGGATTCCCCAGTTGAACTGCTGCAGATGACCTGTAGGAGTAAAAAACAAAAAAAAACAAAAAAAAAAAACAATGATAACTACAATACAGAGTTTAACAGGCTATTTTTCCATTTACCTCTTTAAAATCCTGCTTGAGGACGGAGGGAGAACAGGCAAACGGAGAGGATGAGGAAGAGGAGGATCCCGAGAGGAGTGCGGTGGATGCCTGGGGGGAAGTAAAAACAAAGAAAAACAAAATGAATAATAAATGAGAAATATTAGCATTTTGTTTTATGAAATGTTATATTTCTACTTACACAACTGCTCCAACCAGATGTCTCAACTCCACTGTCACTAATGATCTCTTATGAGTTATGAGTTATGGCAGGCAATGGGCCATTTTCGTTTACATCACAATGCCTAATGGGCTTTGGATTCTTTCATGTGTATATATATCCACGTTAGTTCATCAGCTTATACAAAAAATGGAGTGGCCTGGATGGAGTGATCTTAGTGAAGAATAGACATTAATGCTGCACATTATTAATGGCACACGGCAACATGTTAATATTGAATGTTGTGTATTTGTTTTTGTTTTATTAAAGTAGTCAATGGCTCTAATTAAAAATCATTTTAATAACACATTTTGTTTAATGCAGTTTTCCAAAAACCTATTAAAGATGATATTTGCATTCAAACAGACTGTTTTTCTCCTACATAGATAATAGATATACACTTTCATTGGCAGTTGTTTTCAGCACACTATTAGACAACATATTTAAATATGTATTTCACTAGGATCTCAACTCTTAATAGCCCTGATATGTTATTTTATTAGTAAAGTATGCTTTCCTTTTTTTCTATGCACTTTTGTGATTTTAGACACAGCAGTGCGAGCGGGACTTTTATTTTGGTTTAGTGATCTGACGTCATAAGTCGGCGCCGCGCTGCTGCCTCTTGTGATTCGGCCCAAGAAAGGTTTGTGTTTTTATGCATTTAAATCGATGCAAACTGTTCTCTCTATTTTATAGTATTTATTAGTATTGTGCATTAATTTATTCTTTTTGAATGTAACATTGCAATGCTTATCTAACATTAATAAACGTTATTGTTTTTGAGTAAAGGGCGTACACAAATGACTGATAGCAAAGGTGCGTCTCATTTCTCACCCTATATCGTGAATGTAAAGTCATTTTAATTTCAATTAAAGTCTGATCTGACACAATTTTATTGTGAGGTAAAATTTAGGTTGAAATGCAAATGTTTGTTGGTGAATTTCTAAAAATGCTTATGAAACCTGAATGTAATAAAAGTGTCATCTGTTAAATTACGTAGTAATGGGTCTGCACAATTTGGAGGAATAAGCAAATTGCGATTTTTATTTATTTTTTATTTTATCCAAATTGCGATTTACTATTATTTTAAAAAGAGCTACTGGTTTGTATCGTAATCACAAACTGTTTATTTAAAACACTAACATTGTGGCATTTAATTTTTTTTTTTAAATAATGTTATGACAACTAAAGCAAATAAATAACTATAGTAACTTTATTCAAGTTAAATAAACTAATCTTAATCTTTTAAGAATAAAAAACACTGACCAAAATATACATTAAGGTTGCAACAGTATTTCAGATGATAATGGATTCTCATGTGGACAAAGTATTTCCAGCTTTTACATGGATTAGTTTGTATTTTATTGCCATCTGAATCCATAATGTCTGTGTTTTTCTCCCACAACCCATGTAGCCTACAAATCCCTTGCCAAATTATCTTTTTTTTTTTTAACACTAAGGTCATTTGGTAATTTAATTACTGTCCGAATCCATATCTTTAAATTTACTAGAAGAGATCACTTCACAATTCTCTACTTAAATCCTTTTGGCCATGACTGAGCACCATACAAAAACAATTGCGCTTCACTGTAATTTGCAGTATGGAAACACAATTGGGTGTTGTCTAGGCCTAGGGGTGTAACGGTACACAAAAATCACAGTTCGGTATGTACCTCGGTTTTAAAGTCACGGTTCAGTACATTTTTGATACAGAAGAAAGAAAGAAATGCCAGAGAAATTTCCTATTTGTTCAAAGAAAAAATACTTTTATATAAGTTTGAGTTTTCCTACATCTCGAAACTTTCAGGTTTATAAATGGGAGTCATCGTTGAAGGAAGAACAAATGTTTTGGTCATCACATTAAAAATAACATTTAAATATATTTATATTTATTTATATAATATTTGAGTTTTGAAGTGCTGGAAAAAGATGTGTGAAGTACTTGAAAGCATTTCACTATTCCAGCCAAACTGGTTACGTGTCACTATATTAAATCCATGGTGAATGTTGCTGGTCTGTGGACGTAAAGTATTACTAGTTCATTCACGGCACAATGTTTCTCCTGGTTTCCACGTCAGCGCTGTTTGATCTAATAGAGATCTACGGTTAATAACAGAGAAATGTCAATGCTTCTCACTAGATCTCGCAGCGATGTTATTTCTTCAGTGGCGAATTCAAATGTTTTCTTCACTGGATCTCTTAACGCTGTGTAGTAAAAGTGTCGCTTGATCGAGATCGGCTCGCGCTGCACAAATGTTGCAGGTCCGAAATGATAAACGATCCGTGAAGCACATAATTGGTAGCGCAGTTTCGTTCTGCTTTCATTACGCTTGCCATTTCATGTTGCGCCACGTTGTGGTGGCCGCGCCAGCTAGAATTTTGTCAGCAGGAAAAATGGTCCAAGCAATCGTTCAGTTTGTATGCGTACCGAATCGGAAGCCTCGAACCAAAACGCTTCAATACGAATACATGTACCGTTACACCCCTAGTGTTGTCAGCACTGCTCTGACGATTTCATCAGTTAAAATAGTTAAACAACTTGTTAACTTCTCACTGGCAAGGGAAAACCGTTTTGAGTTGCGGTGACCATGATATAAGATGAATAATTGACTCTGGGCCGTTGAATTATTAGAAAAATAAAGCGCTTTATGTAATGGCCACATTTGGCCTGTCGTCAATTATTCCTTACTTGAATTTAAGACCCAACATTATTGTTAACAGTTTGAATTTTACTATAAATTTACCAAATATATATTTGTTGTTGCCGTTCTAATGTCTTCATATTATTGCAGTAAAATATCCAAAAACCACAAGGCCTATGATATATATTTTGTTTAGTTGATTACTTACAATATCACAAATGTTTCCAACTATTTGTAAATCGTGTGAAAAAATCTAACCAAGGAAACATGGCGTGTGAAACATGGGGTGAGGAGTCACCAGTCAATGGCGTCAGATCCACGTTACCCTCGGTTTCCACTCGTACTGCCATAGTAACCATTAGAGCTATTAGAACCATTGTAGCTATTAGAGCAAGTGAAGCAGTGCTGCATTACCTCAATTTTAATTCCTCTAATAAACTGACCTGTGTGAGTAATTCAGCACTTGCGTGTAGTTCGGTAGAATGAAATTTCCTCATTCCTTTATATCCGCAGGACTTGCGTTGCATGTGGCGCTGATGTCTCTCATTAGCAAGTGCGCCCTGCTTCATACCACAGTCTTGTTAAAAACATCACTGTATTTATTCACTCATCTATTAAAGATCCATCAGCTTGACGACAAGATCCATAATTCTGCTTGATGCTTTGTGTCATAAATAGTGACCCCAGGGGGCCCGTTTCAATAAGGAAGTTCAACCAACTCTGAGTTAAAGCTTGAACTCTGAGTTGACTTATCCTGAGTTTTCGGTTACAGAAAAGCTGAAATGAGTCAGTTCAATCAACTCTGAGTTGACTGACTCTGAGTTAAGCGTGTGCACCACAACTATAAAAAGCCATTATCAATGGAGCGCAGATATTATGAGTCACCATGGCAACAGCGACAGACAAAAAGAGGTTTTGGGTGTGATTAATTACCAAGTAATCTAAATTTTGTAATTTAATTAAAGGGATTACTCTTAATTCTTCTGCAATTTAAAATAAAATATGATGCAATTACATTAAAAAGGCTACTGCATAAACTATAGACCAATTCAGAATAAAACAATAGTGGATTTAACATACATTTTTAAAAGGTATATTTTTTATGTAACCTTCTCCCTCTACACACTTTGATCAATTCAAGAATAATTCATGCAATTGTATATTGTTAATTTGAAAGCATTAAAAGTGCACCTTTTTGTCTCTCCTCCTTGTATTAATCAAGTGGTTGAGGTTGATATAGGATTTAGTAATATGTAGACCAATACTTTCTAGAGATAGTAATTGTTACATTAATCTAACTACAGCGTTGAAGATGACATTTGTAGTTAATAATTTATAACTATTTTAGAGTAACTTACTGTTATAATATCAGAGGTGAAACTGAAAGAATGTTATTCAACCTAAAGTAGGCTACTATTACTTTGGTATTTTTACTTTTACTTAAGTAAAAATGTATCAGTCTAAAAATTTACTCAAGTAAAAAGTAGTTAATTTAAAACATGAGTAAAAGTTGCTGAGTAATTTGTTTAACAGCAGGGGTGGTGTGGGGAACTCCCCAATGTAGGGTTGTAACGTATGAGAGTTTCACAGTATGATAACCGTCTCAGAAAATATCACGGTTTATGGTATTAAACAATTATTAAATATATAAACTGCATTATTAAATTACGGTTATTATTGTCATCAGTTAAAATGACAATTAAACATTTGTTCAATAAAACATAATCAACTTTCTTCAATAATTGATTATGAATAAGATTAACATCTTATTTATCATTAATAAATTATTAAATTATGTTTGAAAAATAATCGAGTTCTATTTTTTTTAATGATTTAATAGAAATATATTATCAAAAACGGTGGTAATCAAATAAAAGTTTAGCAAACGTTTTAATCCTTTTATTTTTTGGTAAAGTGCTGCAAAACAGATTTAGTCAATTAAACCATGGACAAATAATATATATTCCTTAAAGAATGTGTAAATACATTTTAGTGTTGGTGTTTAAACAGCACTTACTCTTTAAAAAAGGGGAGGAGACCGCAAGAAACTCTGGGTTTACTGAAGAAAACCTGCTGCCGACCAGGTTAGGTTCACAGAGTAAGTTACCATGGTAACTGACTCTGAGTATAAGTTACCTCTCTTTCAGAAACCGGCTTGACTTACTTTGCTTTCTTGGGTTTGATATACCCCCCTTTCTGAAACGGAAAACCCAGAGTTTCCCTCATTTCAGGGTTAACATACTCAGAGTTTTCACTTAACCTCCTTTCTGAAACAGGCCCCTGGTGTCGAAAAATCCTACATATTGTACCTTTAAATGCTGCACACCCAGAAAAACTCAGGGTTTTCAGGGGCTAGGTGCAAAACCAGGTTAGAAAATAGCCTATTACTTATTCATCATGGTGTTTTTGAATCTAAAAACCATGTGAACGTAATAAATTGACCTCAGACAACAGTTCATGACCCTTTTAAAATTCTCCCTATTGGTTAATCTCTGCATCAAATGGTAAATAGACAGGACACAAACCTTCATTGACTAAGTGGATGCTTGTTACCATATCCTTTATTGAAATAATCACACCCTTTTAAAGCACAGTTTTGGTTTAAAAACAGTAGTGCAGCCCTGTTAAGGAATCACATAGAGATTGAGATTTATTTTTCTTTCTGTTGTTTATTATTATTTTCAATATGACAGGGCAACTCAGGTTGGAGTAACTGAGAACCACATGACATAAAGATGGCATTTATTAAAGAGGAGAGTGAAAACATGAAGATTGAAGAAGTGGTAAATGAAGATACTGAGAGACAAACAGGTTGGTTTCATTCATCCTGGACCTAAATTAACTCAAGCCTGTCACAAATTTCTAAGTTAGTATCTTATCAAATACATTCATATAATGATGCTATTTCCACTTCACCTGTGAGACTGGGCTAAACAGAACACAATGCTGTGACTTCACATGACTACAAGCCCAATTTAAAGTCCAGTAGTTTTTATATAAGGGTGGCCACAGTTGGATTCTTGGACACCACCTTCAGACCTTGCTGGTCTTTGTTCCTCTCTCAGAGTTTACACCAATGAAGGGTTATTTAATTAATTAATGCAATTATTTATCTTAGACCAGACAGAGTTCATTGACATAATAACAATATTTACCCCATCTGACTTACAATTGTGGCTAATGTAAATGGAACCACCATCAGTGCAGGCTTCATGAGCCCATACCTTGGACTGCTAACACTGAAGCCACACCTGTGAAGGCACATCTGTGCATTAATCATGTTGTCAGCATCTTTATATGCCACACCTGTGAGGTGGATGGATTATCTCTGCAAAGGAGAAGTGCTCACTAACACAAATATTGCTCACAAATCTGTGAAAGTCTTAGATCTCATGAAAAATGGGGGCAAAACAAAAGTTCAAATCAATACTCTCCATCAGTGTTGGGTAAGTTACTCTAAAAAAGTAATTAATTACTAGTTACTGATTACCTCTTCAACAGTGTAATTAGATTACTGTACTAATTACTCTCTCTAAAAAGTATTTAATTACTTTTAATTACTAATTACTTTCAAAATCGCATATCAATCTCATCCAGCTAAATAATACAAGGAAAGACATGAATCTGTTTTAATTCTTTCAAATAAATACTATAAAATTGCATGAATTATCCTTAAACAGACCAAGGTGGAGAAGGTTACATTATAAAAACATACTTTTTAGCATCAGACAATACATTTTGATGTTAAACCCACTATTGTTTTATGTCTGATCTCACACTTTTTTCATACATATTTTACAATAATTCATACGAATTTGTACGAGTGCGGTCGTAATATTTAGACACCTCATAAAATGCATACGAATCGCTGTGAGATCGGATTGATCTATACACAGTCCCTCAATTACATCAGAAGTAACTGTAATTAAATTACAGATAAATTAAGAGTAATCCCTTACTTTACATTTTCAAGGGAAAAGTATTTAAATTACAGTAACTAATTACTTAGTAATTAGTTACACCCAACACTGCTCTCCATGACTTGGGATGACTAAAACAACATTGGACAGTAATGACCAAACCTACTTGAAGAAGGTCTCTTCGGGAATTAACAACCTCTGGCATCAATTGAAATGCGCCTCCAAGATATCAGAATACTTAGACTGGCATGACTCCCAGTCCACATTATCCTGACATGTTGCTGCTTTTTTAGTCCAGAATCACTTGTAGCAATAAAGAAACCTAATTGTCTAACCAGATAAAATAGTTTGATGCTTTTGCCATCTTGATTGATTGTACACATGCACATAGTGTTCCTTACAAAGTGACATCGCCAACTACTGGCCTGGCATGCATATTACAGCATTTTTTTGTAATTTTCGCAGATCCATCTTTTCTACAAAGTTGTCGTTTGTACAAAGAATTTGTGTAAACGAGTAACTTGACTTGTTTTTTCTGTTCATATCAGCAGCTGCCTATATTCTGGAAGGTTATTTTGAAAAAAGTTTATTGCTGCATTGGGGCGAGACCATGTGCAAGTTAAAGGATGCAGCCTGAAAAGTGTGTGTAATAAATTAGTTCAATAAAATAATAAACTTGTTTTTAAAATAACTTTTTTGTAAAGTCTACTCTATACTTCTCATCTTGCACAACAATGAATTAAAATGATCTTTTGGGGGTTATTTCTCTGCCAAAGGTGTGATTAGTTTACGATGTAATTATTTACAATTAAAACTTTTAACACCTCTTTTAGTAGCTTAGTGTGTATAGAGTCTTGTATACTGGTTTTGATGTTATTTGTTTTGGATGCTTTTTTATTTTGGTTTTTAAGTCTGTTGCTTTGTCATTAAAAAGGGTTAACTGGTATTTGCTTTGTTTTAGACCTGATGCAGCTGAAAGAGGAGAGTCAAGAACCAAAGGAAATTGAAGTGAAAATACAGAATGAGAAAGAATATATTGACCAGGATATTGAAAATGGAAAAAAATGTTTTGGTTGCTCAAAGACAAAAAAGTCCACCTCACGAAAAAAAGGTCAAAAGGCAAAAAACAGACGCCATTTTAACTGCCAACAGTGTGAGAAAAGTTTCACTCATAGAGGAAACCTTAATGTCCACATGAGACTTCATAAAGGAGAGAAGCCTTTCACCTGCCAGCAGTGTGGAATAAGTTTCACTCAAAGAGGAAACTTTAACGTCCACATGAAAATTCACACTGGAGGAGACGCTTTCATCTGCAATCATTGTGGGAAGAGCTTCTCACGAAAAGGAGGTCTTAAGACTCACATGAGAGTTCACACCGGAGAGAACCCATTCACATGTGACCAGTGTGGAAAGAGTATGAGATTTAAAGCCACTTATAATAAACACATGAGGATTCACTCAAGAGGAAACAGTTTTGCATGTCATCAGTGTGAAAGGAGTTTCATAGACGGTGATCACCTTAAGAATCATGTAATTACTCACATTGGAGAGAAGCCTTTCATGTGTCATCACTGTGGAAAGACTTGTAAAAACAAAGCAAACCTTGACGTTCACATAAGAATTCACACGGGAGAGAAGCTTTATATCTGCCCTCAGTGTGACAAGAGTTTCACATTTAAAGGAAACCTAAAGATTCACATAAGAGTTCACACAGGAGAGAGGCCTTTCACGTGCCCTCAGTGTGGAAGTAGTTTTATGTATAAAAGAGACCTGAAACGTCATTTGCACACTCATTCTGACAAGAAACTGGAGTGATCTGTGCATGAGGTTTAGTAAAAGGAGCTATTTCAAAAATCACTTGTGCATTCACAATATTAGATAAGCTTCTATATTGCTGTAAAACTCCATGAAGAATGAAGTGTGTGTGTGTGTAGAGAGTGAGAGAGAGAAAAGGAACTGAATAATGAATATTGAACATTGCATTGAATTATTTGATTAAACTTAAAAGATTGTTCATATATAATATATTTGTGTATGTATATATAAAAAAAATTCATATAGACTGTATACATATAAGTATAATACATAAACATTTTATATAAAAGCAAACTTATGTTAGATACGATTATGCAAAAACACTTATAATAACACATTGTTTTAAACATTCTGTAATAATGCTTTGTATATTTTAGGGACAATTTATATAGGTGGGATTGGATTATTTAGTGATTTTCTATTACAATCTTAGGCTTCTGATTCATACATTCAACTGTAATTTTACATGAGATTATTCAGTCTTATTACTAGTTAAAAATAACAATGTTCTGCGTCAAAGACCTCCTGTGGTAAAAAAACACATTTTTAATGTTTATGTCTATGTGCTGCTGCTTTAATACAAACCTTATTCAGAATTCAGTCAACATCACTGCGGAGTATTTTCTCATTAAACTGCAGCGAACCAAAGACATATGAATAATGAATCATTACACATAAATAATTAATTTAATTCAAATGTATTTGTATAGCGCTTTTCACAATACATAATGTTTCAAAGCAGCTTTACAGAAAGTGCATTTTCAAAAAGCACATGTTAGAAATGTACATGGAAAAATACATTTAGTTGATCATGTAATAATTTAGGTCATCATCGCCGTCGTTGAGTCCTCTCATCGCAGGTGTTGGGGTATCTAAAGCCTCCGTAAGAGGCTGGATACAAACTGGAGCATAACAGCAGAAAAGCAAATGGGAAATAATTAGCATAGCTGCTATTCACAATCAGCATAAGCATTGGATCTGATTCAACAGAGGAATAAAAGGTAAGCATTATGTGAATGCTTGGCTAAAGAGATGCGTCTTTAATCTAGTTTTAAACAGGGACAGCGAGTCAGAGCCTCAAACAATATCAGGAAGGCTATTCCAGAGTTTAGGAGCTAAATGCGATGGACCACGTGAACTGGTCCTTAGGAATTACATACAACAGAACTTAAATTCCCTGCTCTTTCATTGAAGTCGCAGGTGTGGAAGTTTTTGGGATTTCCAGTGAGTTCTGTTGACAACGTTCGGGCTTCAAAAAAGCCCCAGTTTGCAGACATACTAAGTCTCGCAGAAGTCTCCCGCATGTTGATAGCGGCTCCCTGATGCACGCAAATTAGTTAAAATGTCCCGGAATCTAGAGTGAACGAGCAAGAGCGAGAGTGCATGCCGAGACAGAAAAAAACTGTGCTCCAAACCGTATTGCGCGCACGGCAGCGAGGTAGAGAGCGAGAGACCTGTGTGCCTCATGAAGCGCATGTAAAGGGGCGCGCACATTCTATTCGTGCGAGCTCAATTTTGAATCAACTCCTGGTAGAAGAGCTGCACGATGTGGGAGCTTTAAGTTAACTTGATTTATTTTAATTATTTTTTTTAATGTTGATTGAATAATAGCTGATGTTTGACCGTTAATCAAGTAAAAATGTATCACATTAAGTCTGTTATCGTTGTCTAGGGAACTATGTCACATAATACAATAGTATTTATTTAGCTAGCGTTTGGCTAACCCTAGTGAAAACAGCACAAGGTGAAGCCATGTACATTAACGATGATTTGAGACAAATAAATGTAAATTTAATATAAAACTATGTAAATGGCGCTCTGTGGGTTTTGAACACGGTCCTGAGCCCTATCTGGGCGCCGCCGGTGTGTGTACACTCAGAGAATAATGTGTTCAAGACATGGCACTGCGCTTCTCGTCTGGTGTGCAAACCCCTTAAGACAGAGAGCATCCTGATTGGCCAGTTTCGTTTTTTAAAAACAAATAAATGTAAAAATCGAGAATCGTATCGAACCGTGACCGTAGAATCGAAAATGTTATCGAATCGAGGATTTGGAGAATAGTGACACCCCTACGTTATGCGCGTAAAAAGTTCCTGCGGCATGGTAGACGTGAATACGCCTCATTTGCGTGCCAAGTTGGCGCGAATGGCGCGTTATGTGCGAATGATTTAGTGCTATTTGTGTATTCACCGGTTTGACGCGAATTCGCGCCTGTCGCCCGAGTTAAAAAATCTGAACTTTGGTGTCAATTCGTGCCACGTTAACCAATCAGGAGCCTAGCTGCTTGCTCACGTGGTGAAGTATCTGGATGCTTCAATAAATTATTTTGTAATATGACTAAATTCTTGGTGTGAGGCATCAGCAGACCTGTGTTTTGCTGAGGTCGAGGGAGTCACCCCATCGGATGAGGTAGCCAGAAGTGTGACTCCATCATCCATCTCACAATTGGATGTGACTGGAGAGAGTGCAGTCAAAATGTTGGACACACTCAGTCCCCCTCAGCGGTGAACTGGGGTTATATTTGTGCCCACCTTTTCCCCGGAGCCAGGAGAAAGAAATTCTACCCAAATACAAAAGGGGCAGAAAGTAAGCTGTTTATGATTTTGATTAGGTTAGGGATTTCCAATGCAACAGTTCATAGGGAGTAGGGAAAGTCCCTCTGAGGACTTCCAGGAATAACTACTGTACCAATACATGTTTATTTTGTTACCTCAATGCAATCTTGAATTTAGTTTTGAGGTGCACAAATACTTAATGCCAGCATCTGTGCACCTCTCATGGACCATCAAGATGCTCTTGATTGTGAGCCGCTTTCTGTTCTGGCACGGTGGTGGTTTACACCCAGAGCTGAGAGAGGGGTATAATTTTATATAATATATATGAATTTATATAAGTATATCAAGAAATGCTATTTATAAATGTCATGCTAATGTGTGTTTCACCTTTGTTTGTTTGTTTATTTCATTGGCTGAATCTTGGTTGCTCACTCAGGCTTTTCTTATTGACTGACCTGAACTGCCAGCCTGCCACCCAGCACATAAAGGAAGTTCCTGTACCAAGGGGTCATCTCCAGGGGTTTGAATCTTTGGCAGACCTAATTAAGGAGTAAGAAATATGTTAGGCTCAAAAACTGGGAGACTGCATGTAGGATAGTTGTAGATAGGTAGGTATGGGTAGGTGTATCGTAGTCAATAGGTAGGTTGAAGTTAGTGGGTAGGTTTTAAGTTTGTGAAGTTCATTTTTTTTGTTTTAGAATTACCTGAATTAGAATTCAGGACATCAAAAAGGCGATTTATTCTGTCAATAAATTCGGCAGTGTCTTTTGCTTCTGCCGGCAGCCTCTTCAGCGGATGAAATGCCTGGGTCACAACAGATGTAAGAACTTAATAGGAGGTCAGTATTACTTTATAATCTTCAAAATCTGCTACTAGTCATTGCAAAGATGAATTATCCACATGGAATTTACCTGCAGAAACAGGGTGGCTAAACACCCGTGTTGCCAAACTAATACACATTTTTGAATATGCAGGCAAAGATGTGTGCCTCTCGGTGAGCTTTGGCGCCAAGCATATAGTGGAGGCTTGTCGAGCTCATAAAAGTTTGAAAATATGTCACCAAAGAACATCTTTGCCTTGGATCTAAGGATGTTAATAAATAAGAGCTGGGATGAGAATCATTGTGATGATGTTGCATCTTAGTCATGCCATTCGTTTTCATGAAACCATTTCATAGACAAATCATTACAAATGTGATTGTTGTGTTTACTGTGCTTACCAAATTTGAAGAGGTTGTTCCTGATGGACTTCAGTAGGCGTGGGACATCAAAGACTACAGGAACCCTCTGAACACCCACCAGAATGTAGTGGGAATCCTCACCACCAAGAGGGTCCAGGGTGACCCCAAGTAGGTGCAAAGCCTTGATGTTAGTTGTTGCTTGGTCAGAAATGACTGCCTGACCCTTGGAAATAGGTTAATACATTGTGTGCATGGTTTGATGGTAATTGTAGATTGCTAATGTTGCTGTTTAAAAGTCTGTCCAGTACATACCGTCAGCCCTATATGTTCTAGGTTCCGAATGGCATCCTTAACGATGCTGGCGATTTCCACGGCTGCCATAGAACCGGGGGAGAAGAAATAACCCATGGCCTGTTGAAGGACAATTTTTTGGTAAATGTTTTTTTTTTTCATAAATAGAAAAAAAAATATTTTTTTTAAAATCAATACAGAATGTTGTTGTTGGCTTGCCTGGTTCCACTTCCCCAAAATGCCCCTAACCATGATGACATTGCCCGTTTGGCAGCATGGCTTGAAGGAGATAGACCATAAATGGTTCTCTTGTCATAATCAAATTGCCTCTTGATGGAAATCTCATCTAAAACCAGAGAACACGTTATTTCTGCTGGGGTCATGGTGGAGGCTTCACATTACCCGTTTAACAATTTCAAAATGTACACAGACCTGTTTATTTAACTTGCTTGTTCCAACAGCCAGGCTTCCTGCAAGGAATCATTTCCCAAATGGGAGTGATCGTAGTCTATATTAAATTGTACCACACGTCCTGTAATGTAACAGCGTATTGTTGTTTTGGAGGGTGGGCAAGAATGCTTCTTAGGTATCTGTAAGCCTTTGGGCTGCTGTGGAGAATCTGCAGCCCCAGGTCCTTCAGATCGTTGTTAAACCTCCTGCCTTTTCCCTTTTTCGCTGCCTCCGACAGTAGTTCCGACAGCTTTCAGGACAGCTCTTCAGCATCTCTTATAGAATTCCATAAGGACTATGGAAGAACAGGATGTAGGTATTAAGATTCAAATATTTTATCCCTATGTGTGGTGCACAGACTTGGAAGTACATTACTTGGATTGTTTCGGTTTTGTAGCTGGCTTACTACTCCTTTTAGTCTTTTTAGCTGTGCAACCTTTGCCTCTAGTTCTGCAATTCTCTGTGATAACAAAAAGCCATATTATATTTGATTCTGTGATAATGCTAGTCACAATCTTCAAAAATCGAATAAGCTCAGGACTTAATAGGGAGTGGCCAGGCTTTCCGTAGACGGCAGTGTTGCCAGATTGGAAATATCCAGGTATCGTACCAGACGTTCAAAATGATCATATTTGGATCAATGAGTATAGAAGCACTTTGATTACAATTGTAGTGTCACAAAATTCTGAAATTATCATACTTTATGGGATTTTTTCCATTATTGAACGTAGGTCAAAATTATCGTACAAATACGATAATTATTGTACGTTTGGCAACACTGGTAGACGGGCTTTGGCAGGGGAAACATATTAAAGACAGGAAACGTGATGGCAAAATTACAAAATAAAAGACATGAAACATAAAACAAACCCTAAACCAACTTGCCATCTAGGGTGATATCCACCATACAAAATAAATAAATATGAAAATCCAACGCCTTGGCAAAGATGAAATTTAAATTGCATATATCATGTTCTTTTTAAAGTCATTGTAATTTTGATGAATGGTTGGAAGATAAATGCTGTTGGCACATGTATTTGCTTTAGGCAATAGTGACAGCATCTCATTCTGAACGCTGGGGTGAGGTCTCAATCTCAGAGGTGGCAGGGTTTTTAAGCCAGTTGTAAAAAAGATGATGATTTTTATAACTAAGGAATAAT